TTAATTATTAGGGACATTTTAAAGTTCCATATGAATTTTCAATTTTTTTCTATATCTGTGGAGAACATACAGCTCTGCAAATTAATATGTAAATTATAGGTACTAAAACAAAAACTAAACAATTTAGACCATATTGAATTAAAGGTCTTGTGCAGCTGAGGAAGCAGTCAGCACAATGAAAAGGCAACCAATGAAATGGTGAAAAGTAGTTGTGAGTCATCTACCTGGTAAGGAGTAATGTTCAGAAAATCTGAGGAACTCATGTCATGGGACAACCAAGTGCCCACAATGGGCAAAGCACTTGCATAATCATTTTTCCTAGGAAACCACACAATGACCAGAAGTAAATGAAAAAATGTGTAGTATGAAAGTCAAAACCACTAGGAGGGGTCACCTCACCCTTGGTGGGCAACCATTGTCATACTGTCAAGAGGAAACAAACTTTACTGAAAGCATGGAGGAAAGGGAACCCTGGTACTCTGTTGGCAGAAATGTAAACGGGTACTGCCATTATGGAAAAACTATATGGATGGTTTTCAAAAAGCTAAAAGTAGAACCATCACACAATCCAGCAATCTCACTTCTCAGTATAAATCTAAAGGGAATAAAATCACTGTTTTGAAGAGAAATCTATCGACCCAAGTTCTTAGTAGTACTATTCAAAAGAACCAAGTTCTGAAGAGACCCGAGTGTCTGCTGGCAGATGGATCAGTACAGAGAGTATGATGTAGATGGAGAAGCAGACACACACACAGATGGGAGGCAGAGGAACAGTGCTTGGCTTTTAACAAGAAGGCTTACATGGGAAACCTAATGCAAGGTGGAACTCAGTCACAGGAGAATGGTGGTTACCCGGGCATAGGTTTGAAGTGCAGATGTTAGCCAAAGGTATAAGTATTTAGTTATAACAGGAATAAGTCATGGAAACCCAATTAAGAGAATAGTGGTGCTGGGTAATATGTTGTCCTCCATGCCTGAAATTGTGCATGCAACATATACACACATACACATACATGTACCACACACGTATACACACATCACACATATACCCCACATACACATACAGTACACATATACATACATATGTATGCATATACCACATGCACACAAATATACATCACACACCTTCATATGTACACACACATAAATATATGTATATGCATATATACATGCATATAAATAAACACAGTTAACTAGAGTAGGGATATATACTTTAATTTGATTGAGTACAACTTTATAGAATATAGGCATATATAAGAATACCATGTTGTGTACCCTTAATATAAAAAATTTGTTCAGCAATCATATGTCAATAAATCCCCAAGGAAAAAGCAACTGTGACTGAATCTTAGCAGCTTACAGCTCATGGGGGGAAAGGCTCCTGTGTCATTCACACCTCTCATCTTCAGGCTTTGCCTGCCTCCTCACTGAGGAGACTAAGACCAGCCACCATGCTGAACACTGTCAACCCTTGCCACAAGCAAAGATCTCCAGAAGGCCCTGCAGCAGCAATGAGATGCAGCAGTCTAGAAAGTTCATCACCAGAACTCATCACACAGGCTGCCACCAGCACAAAGGGGTGTTAGTGGCATCTTGCAAAAAGGGTATGGCCGCTACTACAATTTTGCTAGCAAGGCAAGATGCCACTACAAGGTTCTCACAGAATTATAGACCTTTGAATGAAGGAAGTCTATCAGAGAGAGCTGGAAAAGTAGACTCAACTTAGCTTTACTAAAATTTCCTGCTATAGAGCTTCCCTTAGAACTCTTAACAGACTACCTAACAGGAAAACTGATTTCTATAGATTTTACCAGCATCACACAGTTAGCCCAGCATTTCAGAGCTGTCATTCTAGCTACCACATGGACATGTGGAAGGGAGACTTGTTGAATCAAGAATGTATCAAAGTCGGGAGACCAATAAGAAAGCTACAGCAGAGGACAGGGTGTAAAATGTGCCCTTAAAATGAAGTGATGTTCTTTGGAATCAGCAAGCCAAGTTAGGTGGAAGGAAAAGACCTAAAGAGAATTTACAGGACTTAGTGTGGGAGGAAGTATGAGGCAAAGGAGTCGAGGAAAGCCTGCGATTGACAGCATGGCAGCCAAGTGATTGCCAAGACTTGTGACTTAGAAGGTAGAAGAGAAAGCATGTGGTCTAGGACAACTCCTAGGTCAGCTTGTGATTATGCCAGGCTGCCCTTTTGAAATGGCACATAGCAAAATTCCTGTCTGGTTTATTTCTTTCACTCAGGCTGAAGACTAGGGCCCTCAATAGCTTACCATGAATTTAAACATGTGAAAATGGAAGTTTACTCTGCCATAATTTCTCCTTGACTTTCTCTCTGCACTAAATTTGATTTCCAAGAGTACAAAATTAAATAAGTTAACAGAAAAAAATGTTCCTTATAGTTCTTTATAGACTTAACACGTTCAAAAATATACATTTGAAATACCTATTTATTTTTATTTTATATATGGGTGTTTTGCCTGTCTGTATGTTTGTGCACTATTATGCATGACTGGGGCCTGCAAAATCCAGAAGAAGGTGCCAGATTCCCAGGAACTACAGCTACAGATGGCTGTAAGGCAGAGTGTGGGTGGTGCAAATTGAACTTGGGTCTTCTGGAAGAATAATCAGTCTCTTAACCACTGAGCTATCTCTTTAGCCCAGCGCACACATACACAGAGACACACATACAAACATATACACCAGGCACAGACACACAGAAACACACAGACAGAAATACATACAGAGACACAGAGACATACACACAGACATATATACATAGACACACAAATACACACATAGACACACAAACAAGCACGTGCACAGAGAGACACACATATAGACATATACACACAGACATACATACACAGACACACACACACACACACACACACACAGTATGCTGTAGACAGAGTTTCTGTCCCACATGGTCCTGCAGTTCTTTAATCCCAAATAAATACACAGCGGCTTATATTAATTGTAAACTGTTTGACCTATGGCTCAGGCTTCTTATGGATAGCTCTCCCTTAATTATTAACCTATTTCTATTAATCTGAATATTGCCATGTGGTTTTGGCTCACCAGATAATGCCCAGCATCCTATCTTCCTGGTAGCTACATGGCATCTCTCTGGCGGCTTCTCTCTGCATCCTCTCCCCAGAATTCTCCTTGACTGGTAGTCCTGCCTATACTTCCTGCCTGGCTACTGGACAGTGTTTTTTTAATCAACCAATAAGAGACACACATGTTAACAGCATACAGAAGGATATTCCCATCAGTATGTAATGTTAAAGCAGAGTCTCAAATCATAGTAAAAGCAACAGTATTCAGGTGCCTGTGCAAGGACTGATGGAATCCACTCATGTACAATTATCACAGCATCCCCACAGGGCACTGAACTACTACACAGGGGTAAGGTACTGAACATATTTAATGGCACCAGACATATATGCAGTATTATGTTATATCGGCAAACCATGCTTATGTATATCATATTTCCAGATTTCTGGCTCCTCTGTAAGTATTATGATGTCACTTAGAAGTCATTTCCATTTGCGATTTGACTGCTGACTGCTCTCAGATCCATAAATAATTTCTTCCCATTCTGCTCTCTATCACTGAATGCTACAATTCCCAGCTCCTTCATGAACTGGTTCTAGCTAAGTTCAGTCAATGGGAGGTGATGGTGAAAAGAGGCACAGGGAGGAAAGAACCTGGGGATGGCGTTTGCTCCTCTCTCTCTCCTATTCAAGCAGCTGTGGCTTTGTCTCCTGTATGCTCTCTGCCCCTGCTGGACTCCGACTTCCCCTGCTTTCCTGGCTCCCTCTGGACAATGGCTCCTTTAGCTCCTACTGTTTCTGAGCAGCTAGTCCCAGGACTCTTGTCTGTCACAGCATCAGGCTCGCTCCTGGGTTAGATCTGCGTCTAGGTGTCAAGCTCTTTCTAGGTGTGACACTTCCTCCTCTCTTGCCTCTCCAGACCCGCCAGTCATCATAGCATCTCATACCCTTTAAAGTCTCCAGTTGTCTCCCCCTTCCACTGCCTCTGCTCGGCTCGTCTAGCATCCCTGCAGTTATTATCCCCCGCTAACCCACATCTATCAAATCACAGAAAGATTATCCATAGCCTGCAAAACGTTGAGGCTAAGGTAGGAAGGGACAAGAGCTCGAAGTCTGGCTAGAGTAGGGGCAAAATGTGAATCCCAATGTTATCTCAGAAGAAAGGCAAAGGGAGGGTCTGGGCAGGCTGTTCAGCCTCTCCCTGACCAAGCCGACTCCCAACTTTTGACACTGCATAATCTCGAACAAAAACAGCCAATACATCACATCCCTTATTCTTCATGTCCTCACACTGAGTTTATGATAGGAGAGAACTTGGATGCTTCTTCTGACACCAAAGCGAGAAAAGAGAGACAGTTGTAGGTGATACATTATTGAGATCTAAGCCAGGAAGTCAACAGCATCCTACCAAAGCAATCTGTTGGTGCCCTTTGTAGGACTGTAAATAGGCATTACCTAACCTGGGTTAAGTTGCCTGGCTCTGGCATCTGTTTGGTTTTAATCTTTTATTTTTCCCAGATAGGAGCTTGTAACACCTTTGCTAAATTCAGAGGTCTCAGTACAGCCAGCCAGTGGGAAGACAAGACAAGAGCAGAAGCAGCTGTCTGAAAGTTTGACCTTACTGTCTCAGGAATCCAACGTGACTTCCTGCATAGTTGTAGGATTCTATAGTAATATTTTCAAAGCCATGTTAGAAAACTATGGCATTCCCAGCAAGTCCTAAGCAGATAAAAGGTTGCTGCAGAATTGTGAAGGCTTGCTGTCCTTGACATCATCCATTCAAATGAAGGACTTTGTTAAACTGCAGGATGCTGAGCCTTGAAATTCTGAGCCAAAAGGTCTGGATTTTAAAAGAGTAACACCCGGGAGATTTGCATGCATTTAGATCAAAGATCCCACTGTGGGCAACACTTTCATTTCCACCTTATTCTTTACCTTGTTGTCAAAGTTCCTTAGAATCCATGGTCTTGGCCTGTCAGCAAAGTATTTGAATTCTCAAGCTGTAGTCTTAATGCATCCTGTCAATCAAAGGCACATTTAGCAACATAGACAATCTGAGCATCAGGAGTTGTTAGAGCCACTCACTGACCACGTAGCTCGGTATAAGTCTCCTAGACACTGGAAGGAAACCTTGGTTTCTTCATGTAAGAAATGAAAAAGCAGTATTTGCCCTTATACACCTCTCAGGCTGGTAACATGACCAGTAGAGAGGGGGGAAGGGCTATAAAAGCATTTTTATGAGAAATCTCTAACATTGTGGGCTGTCTTTATTAAAGGGAACAGATCTGATTTCACGGACTCACTTCACTGAGGTTTAAGCAAAACAAAACAGACTTCATGCCAGGCACATGCCTTTAATCTCAGCACTAGGGAGGCAGAGGTAGGTGGATCTCTGAGTTTGAGGCCAGCGTGATCTGCAGAGTGAGTTTCAGGACAGCCAAGGCTACACAGAGAAACTTTGTCTCAAGAAAAAAAAACAAAAAACAAAAAAACCTTCACATTTTCTTTGCTTGGTGGTGTCTGTCTGAGAAGCAAGTTCCTCCAGGGCTTCCCATCTCCACTCTTATGAAGTGGCACTCAGCTGGGGTTATTGAAATTGTCTTAGTACAGTTGTTCTCAACCTTCCTAATGCTGCAACCCTACAATACATTTCTTTAGGCTGTGCTGACCCCAACCATAAAATTAGTTTCATTGCTACTTCATAACTATAATTTTGCTACTGTTATGAATCATAATATAGTTGTCTGTGTTTTCTGATGGTCTGAGGTGACCCCTCCTTGGGGGTCATGACCTATAGGTTGAGTGAGAACCACTGTCTTGGTGGTTCTTAAATATCACAGTGCTGTGACACCTGGGCTATCCTTGTTGTGGGTAGAAAGGGCCACTCTGAACTATGGCATGAATTAAGTTGCCATTTTCATTTCCTTTGTCATGAGAGTTGGAGGTGAGAGGATTGAACACTTTAGAAAGTGTGGCCCATTGCCACATTTCTATTTCTCCTGACATAGAAAGCAGCAATGTTTCAGATGGCCCAAAGCACACCAGCTTTCACTATTGGAGATACTATTGGTAGGCATGGAACATATAGAGCGTGACAAATAACTTTAGAACTTTTTTAGTACTGTCACTGCACTCTCATCTAACCTAGATGGAACAATACAAAGGCATAGGGGAATGTCAGAACATCTAAGCATTCCTAAGATAACCTCTTCCATAGAGGTTCTAGTCCACATCGTGAACTAGAAGGACCCACATCATTGAAAAAGGAGTGACAGTAACTGAGAACTGGGAGTCTCTTACATTTGTTTAGAGAGAGCCGGAAGCAAGTTTGATGTCTACCTGCATGAACCATGGTCAAAGGTCAATTTATTCAGTAGTTTGTAGCCTAGGTTCCATATTGTGAATTCTTTGGTAATTGTGGAGTGAGGGTAGGTTGTAGGTAGACATATTCTTGGAAGACCAATATCAGTTTATATGGATGAAGCAATGGGTTTGAATGCAGGATTTAAGAATCTGGCATGTCACTGTAGGAATTAGTATGGCAATTTCTCAGAAAATTAGGGATCAACCTACCTCAAGATCCTGTAATTCTACTGTTGGGCATATACCCAAAGGAGGCACATTCACAAGGACATTTGCTCAATTGTATAGCCAGATCCTGGAAACAGTCTAGATGCCCCTCAACTGAAGAATGGATAAAGAAAATGTGGTATATATTTACACAATGGAGTACTACTCAGCAGTAAGAAACAATGACATTCTAAAATTCACAGGCAAATGAACAGAACTAGAAAAAAATCCTAAGTGAGGTAAACCAAAACCAGAAAGACAAATATAGTATATACTCACTCATATGTGAATACCAGACATAAAGCAAAAAAAAAAGATACCTAGCCTACAATCCATAATCCCAGAGAAGCTTGAACCCTCTTCCAGAAACAGATGGAAGTAGATGCAGAAATTCAAAACTCACCAATGGGCCAAGCTTCTGGAGTGATAATATGAACAAATGGTCAAGACCATGATGGGGAAACCCATAGAATCAGCTGACCAGAGTTCGTGAGAGATAGCTGACTCGGGTCTGACAAGGGGAACCTGCCTAAGACCAAACAAGATTCCCTTAATATAGGTGACAATGGTGTGATTGGAACAATATATGAGTCCACTAGCAGTGGGGTCAAGATCAAACACTAATGCACAAACTAACTTAGTAGAGCCCACTCTATATGGAGAGATACCTTGCCCAGCCAAACACAGGGGTGTGGGGAGTAGAGAGGCGTTTTGGTCCTGCTTCAATGAGATGGGGGGACAGACTTAGTAGGCGGGGCCTTACCCTCTCTGTGGAGCAGATGGGAGGAGGAGGGAAGTGGGGAAGCAGGAGGAAAGGAGGGAGAGGGAACTGGGATTGGAATTAAAAAAATAAATTAATAAAGAAAAGAATTTGGCAAATGTTTTTATTACTAGTTTACTATGTAAACATTTGGTAAAATAAAGTTTTTTCAGTACTGAAGACTGAAGCTTGGGACTCACATGCTAGGCAAGTATTTGGGAGACAACACTAGCATAATATATACCTGATATATGTCTTGTATTTGTATTATGCAAATAACTCACAAGCTCATTAAGAAAATAAACAACCCAGTTTAAAAATGGGTGAAACAGTTAACAAGATCCTCTCACTAAATAGTATACACAAATAGTGAATAAACAAATTAGAAAGTCAACACCAGACATGATTAAGGATTTGTAATTTAAAGCAGCCATGAGATGCAACCACAGTATGAAAAGAGTGACAGAAAGCACTGACATCAGTCACCATAGCTGATGGGCACATTAGGGGACCCTGTCATTGCCATAGGGATAGGAATGCTGGAGGTCACCAGCACATGAGATGACATTCTGCCATTTTTTAAAAACTTTACATGGTCTTAGCAAACATTCCAGTACTCACAACCCTAAGTTTCTACTCACATGACTTCAAAACTCATTGCAGAACAAAACCTAGACATGAACATTTATAAAGTACTTCCATGTCCAGTATTCAACTGTCAAAAACTGAAGGGAACAGGGATGTCCTTCAATAAATGAATGCATACAGAAACTATGGTAGGTTCACACAATGCAACATGTTCTTGGACAAAATAGAAAATAAGTGAGCTATCAAGGCCCACCCCAAAAAAATGGGACGTGTTTAAGTTCATGTTATTAAGAGCAATGGTTAACTCTACGGGTTAGCCTGAATAGGCATGAAGCCCAGATACTTAATCATTATTCTGTTTAGTCAGGCACTACTTAAATGAAATTAGCATTGAGGTCAGTAGATTTTGGCTGGAGCAGATTACCCTCCATAGGGGGAGTGGTGCCCATCTAAGCAGTGGGAAGGCAGAAAAGACAAAGAGTGGCCTCCTCTGAAGAAGAGGAGGTTGCCAGCAGACTGCCTTTGTGCTTGATCTGCGCGTCTGTCCCCATCCACCCTCCAACACGCCTCCAGCCTGTCAGCTTACTGTGAATGACAAGAGGTTCCAGGCCAGGCAAGGCTGCAGGCAGCAGAGGTATCAGAAGTAGTAGAGATATCAGAAGTTGCTAGTTCTTTCTGGAGTGGGGCCAGGAATGCTGAGATGAGGACAGGGTATTTTTAGGGTGATGGAAATAGTCTATATTATGCTTTAATTGTGGATTCATGAATCCAAGGAAGAACACAGCACCGAACCTCTATGTAAAATAAGGACACAAGTTGATAGTCATGCATCAGTACCGGCTCACCAGCCACAAGCACATGGGCACATCCATTACTAAGAGGAGGAACAAGTGGGAAGAGGTGGACAGGGCATTTCTGCTCAGTTTTCTGCTCAACTAAAATTTCCTGAATTTTTTTCAAAAACGAAAGAGAAAATTATAGAACAGTCATTACTTACTTTGGTCCTTTTTATATACTGCCTCTTGAAAAGTGGTACTTCTTGAGTTATGGGAGCAAAAGTTAACTAAAGGGCTAGTGAGGTGAGAACATGGTGAAGCCTGCTTCATATTAAAAGAAAAGAACTTGCAACTGGGAATTCTATTCAGCCATCAGAATGGGCCCAGAATCTTACATAGATTAAAATCTGGGTTTATATTTTCTCAGAGCTAGAAATAGCAAAACTTCAAGGGTTGTTATGCCAATTAAATGAGAGAATGCATGAAAAAAAGAAAAGAAAACCCCAACCAACCACACAGCCTGACAGATGAGTATACAGGACATGTCTAAGGAGTGGGGGCAGGGACAAACTCAGAAGTGGGGGCATATGAGGGTTACTGCAGACTTTCAGTATCCAGTTACTGTCATTAGAACCTCCACCTCATACTCTAGAGTCAAGTACGACCCTACAGGTTGAGAAAAGTGACAGTAAATTAACCTCCAGTGGCAGGTGAACCCTGCTGAAATTTTTCCCTTTTCATAACAAAGACGGGGAGAATCAAAGCCTCCACAAAAAGGAAAATGAAATAAGGGGGATGTGGATGAGTGCCTCAGTTTCCAACTTCACCTTAAACAGCTGCAAAGAGGAGCTAAAGCCCAACCCAAACCGGGTGCTTTAGAAAGGATTACTATGTCAGCAGAGTTTTACTTGATTCCTTCACCACTTATCTTCTTCCCTGATGTTCAGCTGTGTCAAACAGTAGTGGAGCAGCCAGGTAGATGCCCCAGTTTCCTCGACAAAGGCAAAGGCACTTTAATTGTCTTAAACAGAGTCTTGTGCTCCGGATCCACTGGCGGCCCTCTATTTTAAGCAGCTCCCCTTATTATTCTGTTTCAGAAACTTTTGCAAAGCTCTGATTTTGCCCGGATGCCAAACTATAGGAAGCCATATGACTGGGAATTGAATCTACAGCATCAGGTTTTGTATTTAAAATGCTGCTGAGGACTTGGCGTCTTAGTAGAGGAAGCTTGGAAGTGCATTACCTCATTTGACTGGGGACAGAGCTGGGAGTGATTTGTTCTGATCCCCTTGTGACGATGTCTTAGGGGAGGGTTTGAACACTGACCCA